GGTGAGTGAACTGCCTGAGCCCGCAGGTTCGAGACTCACCTGGGCAAGTTGGCAAGACTTCATCTCTACAATAAATCAAAAAATAAGCCGGGCATGGTAGCACGCGCCTATAGTTCCGGCTACATGGAAGGCTGAGGCGGAAGGATCGCCGGAGCCCAGCAGGTCGAGGCTGCGGTGGCCGGGAGCGTGCCATTGCATTCCAGTCTGGGCGACAGAGTGAGACTCCAATTCAAAAAAATAAAAAAAAATAAAAAACCACACACGGAGATACCACCTAACTCCAGTCAGGATGGCCATCATCAATAACTCAAAAACAACAGATGCTAGAGAGGATGCACTGTTGGTGGAAGTGTAAACTAATACAACCTCTGTAGAAAACATTTGGCAATTCCTAAAAGATCTAAAAATTGACCTTCCTTATGACCCCACAATCCCTCTACTGGGAATATACCTGGAGGAACTGAAACTACTCTATGAAGTAGATACCTACACATGTATATTTATTGCAGCATTGTTCACAATAGCAAAAACCAATTGTGCTGCCTATTGAAAAAGGACTGGATAAAAAAATGTAATACATATACACAATAGAAATATTAATCAGAAGGACAAAATTATGAACTTCACAGCAACTTGGATGAACTTAGAGTCTATAATACTGAGTGATCTATCACAGAAACAAAGAACTGTGTATCACATGTTCTCACCCATAAGTAGACCTTGAACGATTATTGTAATACCATAAGAAAAGGATTGGCAGTAGTGGCAAACTGCCCGGGTGGGGGGGGGGGGGGGGGGGGGCATATCTCATCAACAGGGGTACCTCCACAATGAACATTTGTATACCTAACCCTGAATTATACTCCACATCTTTAAAATAAAAAAAAAATTCTTGTATTTTCACAGCTAAAATGAATTATTTATTACTTTTTAAAATGACTTTTTAAAGAAGCAAGTCTGTCACCCAGGTTGGAGTGCAGTGGCATGATCAGAACTCACTGCAGTCTCAAACTCCTGGTCTCAAGCAATCCTCCAGCCTCAGCCTCTCAAACAGCTGAAACGACAAGCATGCATCACCATACTCAGCTAATTTTATCTTTTTTGTAGAGATGGTATCTTGTTACATTGCCCAAGCTGGTCGTAAGCTTCTGGGCTTAAGCAATCCACCCATCTTGGCTTTCCAAAATGCTGGGATTATAGGCATGAGCCACTATACCATGCTGGATTATTTATTTTAAAAATGAATGAGGCCAGGTGTGGTGGCTCACACCTGTAACCCCAGCACCTTGGGAGACTGAGGTGGGATGACTGCTTGAGCCTAGGAGTTCAAGACCAGCTTGGGCAATATAATAAAGCCTTGTCACTACAAAAAAAAAAAAAAATTAAAAATTAGCTGGCTGTGGTGGTGCTTGCCTGTAGTCTCAGCTACTTGGGGTGCTGAAGTAGAAGGATTACCTGAAGGAAGTCAAGGCTGTCATGAGCCATGACAGTTGTGATCATGCCACTGCACTTCAAACTGGGTGACAGAGTGAAATCCTGACTCAAAAATAAAGAATGAAATTCTATCAGCATTGCTATTAACTATGTGACCCAGGTAATTCATTATATGCTGGAAACTTTAAAATCCTTATTTATCTACCAGGAATTTTATTTTATTTTTATTTATTTATTTTTTGAATTGGAGTCTCACTTTGTCACCCAGGCTGGAGTGCAGTGGCACACTCATGGTCACCCCAGCATCTATCTGCTGGGCTCCAGCAATCCTTCTGCCTCAGCCTTTCAAGTAGCTGGAACTAAAGGCACATGCTACCATGCCCAGCTAACTTTTTTTTTAATTTATTGTAGACACGTTGCCCCCACTTTCCAAAGTGCTGGGTTTACAGGCATAAGCCACCGTTGCCTGGCTGAGCATTACTTTTATAACCAACAAGTTATGTTTTTTTAATCCAAGGCAACAGGTAATCACCAATAAGTTAAGTAAATTGGAAGTTCGGGTTTTTTAAATTGTTTTGAAAGTCTTGACTCTTGTCCTTATATTAAATAATTTATTACATATTTTTAGCCTTTTTTACTCTTTAAAATTTTTAAAAAATATTTGTATTGTTTTATGTTTCTTATTCTCTCAAAATAAATTCTGCTCTTTGAGGCAAAATGCAATAGAAAGAGCACTGAATCTAAATTTAGCGAAAAGACCAAAATTTTGATGTGGCTTTGCCTCACAGTGATACACCAGTACATGTGTAAACGATATTACAAAATGGATAGACATGGAGTTACTGAGGAAAAACCAATGTTTGCAGTTTCCAAAGCAGAGGTATAAAATAAGGGTACACTGTTTATGTTATATAACTTTATTAGAGCCACCTCTGTATACTTGTTATTATTTTAGTTTAAAAATATTTCTTGAGCAAGTATGTATAGTCAAATGCTGTACAACGTTTTAGCCACCAACAGACCACATATAAGACTGTGATATGATGGAGATAAAAAATCCCTACTCCCTAGTGTCATCATATCCATCACATTACTCAGGTGTTTGTAGTTGTGTGGGTGTAAACAAACCTAGTGCGCTGCCAATCATATAAAAGTCTAGCATGTACAATTACATAAAGTATACAATAGTGTATAATAATAAATAACTATGATACTGCTTTATGTATTTACTATAAAGTGTACTTTTTATTGTTATTTTACTATTATTTTTTCAGTCAGGCCGGAGTATAGTGGCATAATTACAGCTCACTGCAGCTTCCACATCCTAGGCTCAGGTGATTCTTCTGCCTCAGCCTCCCCAGTAGCTGGGACTACAGATGTACACCACCATGCCTGGCTAATTTTCTGAATTTTGGTTGAGACGAGGTTTCGCTATGTTGCCTAGGTTGGTCTCGAACTCCTGGGCTCAAGCAATCCTCCCATTTTGGCCTCTCAAAGTGCTGAGAATACAGGCATGACCCACCATGCCGAGTCTTCTTGTTATTTTAGAGTGTACTACTTCTATTCATTAAAAAAAAAAAAAAAGAGTTAACTATAAAACAACCTCAGGCAGTTCCTTCAGGAATAATCCAGAAGAAGGTACTGTTGTCATAAAAGATGACAGCTCCATGTGTGTTACTGTTCCTGAAGACCTACTAGCGGGACAAAATGTGGAGATGGAAGACAGTGATACAGATGATCCTGACCCTGTGTATTCCTAGTCTAATGTGTGTGTTTGTGTCTTAGTTTTTAACAAAAAAGTTTTTTAAAAATTTAAAATAGAAAAAAAGCTTAGAGAATAAGGATATAAAATATTTTTGTCCAGTTCTACAACGTGTTTGTATTTCAAACTGTTATTAAGAGTCAAAAGCTTAAAAAATTAAAGTTTATAAAGTTGAAAAGCTACAGTATGCTAAGGTTAATTTAGTATTTAAAAAAGAAAAGTTAAAAATATAAATTTAGCGTAGCCAAAGTATGCAGTTTTTATAATCTACACTAGTGTATAGTCAACGTGCTAGGCCTTCACATTCACTCACCACTAATCACTAACCAACTTACCATAGCAACTTCCAAGCCCACAAGTTCCATTCATGGTAAGTGCCCTACATGGGTACACCATCATTTTATATTTTATGCTGTATCTTTATTGTACCATGTCCATGTTTAGATATATTTAGACATATAAATACCATTGTGTTATAATTTTCTACCATACTCAATATAGTAAGATGCTGCACAGGTTTGCAGCCTAGGAGCAATAGGTTATACCATATAGCCTAAGTGTGTAGCAGGCTCTACCATTTAGGTTTGTGTAAGTACACTCTGTGCTGTTTGGAGAACAATTAAATCACCTAACAATGCATTTCTCAGAATGTATCCCCATTGTTAAGATGACTGTATTATTACTCTAAAGTGTCAATGAAAAAGATCACTGATTTAACAAAAAAGACATACAACAGATGCTGGTGAAGATGTGGAGATTTCTGCATTCTCATACAATACTGCTTGGAATGTAAAATGGTACAGCTGTCCTGGAAATTAGTTCGACAGCTTGTCAAAAAGTTAAACGATAGCTACCATGTGAGGACATAATTCTACTATTAGATATATACAAAAGATCATTGAAAACATAATGTCCACACAAAAACTTGTATGTGAGTATTCACAGACATCTTCTAATAATCAAAAAGTGTAAATAATCCAAATGTCCACCAATTGATAAATGGATAAACAAAAAGTGGTATATATCTATCAAGATAATATTATTTGGCAATTAAAATTAATGAAGCACTGACATATGCTGTAAAGTGAATGAACCTTAAAAACATTATACTAAGTGAAAGAAACCAATTACAAAAAAAAAACACTTATTGTATGATTCATTTATATGAAATATTCAGAACAGGCAAATCTATAGAGATAGAAAGCAGGTGAGTGGTTGCCAGAGGCTAGAGAAAGAATAGAATGGGTAATAACTGTTAATGGATATTAAGTTTCTTTTTGAAGAAAAGATGAAGAAAATATTTTAAAATCAATTGTGGTGATGGCTACACAACTGTGTGAATATACTAAAAAGCACTAAATTGTATACTTTAAAAGAGTGAATTTTATCGTATATACATAATACCTTCATTAAGCTACTATTTAAAACATTTTAAATTCACTGATCTCTTTTGGAGGGTAAATTATGTTCTCTTCTTGAAAATGCAGTAGAAATACTGGCTTTTTTTGACTCTGTCATCTGATTTGTTGATTCCGTCCAATAGAACAGTTACTTATGGAATCTAATACTGATGATAAAAGCTGAAATATTAAAATAAACAAAAGACAGACCCAGTCTTGTAGGAACTAATGTTGCCGTTTATTGGTTTCTGAGTATGTCAAGTAAGCTGACATGTATGATGAGCTTTATAAAAGATGACTATAAATACCTAGAAAAACTAAGGACTCATGAAGACAAGCAAGAGGCAATTTAAATTTGAATAGTCAAAATTAGTACAGAATTTTGGTAATCTTAAAGGACTTACTGGACTCATGTAAACACCTTGATGTACATCTCCAAACTGGCCTTCTCCAATACATCGTCCAAGTTCTATTCTTTCTCTTTGAATCTCATAATCCCTGGCTGAAAAACATGATCCATACATGAGTAAATATTCAAATACAATAAACCAAATATAGAAATAACCCTTGACACATTTCATATCATTATCACCCATGAGTAAAAATTTCATCTGTGCACATCAATCTATGCAAATGCTTTAAACACAGTGGAATTCTCTTAAATAACAGTTTAACAGGAATTTATGTATCATTTATGGTATTGGATGAACTACCAAAACAAATGAGTTCTACGAAAGGGAGATTTTTCTCCCTGCTGTTCCTAGAGTTTTTGAATATCTGATTTATTTTATATGTATTTGATAGTTTTCTAAGTAATTGGTCTAAGTAGTAAATATGCTTAATTAATAAGAGCTATTAGTTTAGGTATTAATATATGAAGGCTATAAAGACAGCGTTATAAAACAATTACTTTATAAATAACTAAATTTTGTAAATATGAAAGCAACATAAAATTGTATCATAAGTAAAAATTTTATGTTTTGAAAGTTTAAGAGTTTTCCACTTCATTATAATCCTATCTCTATATTATTCATAGAGCTAAAAGAGTTTAAAGAGGTAGTTTCTAAAAACTAATTGCAAAATTAGATGACTTGGAATCAAGGTTGAACATAGCAGCATAATAAGTCACGAGTATTTTATACTTTTGAAAACATGTGCCTCAAATTAATATGTGAAATTGTTGTAATTTATACAAAATCAATTATTTAGTAGGCTGTTGAAACACATGGAAAGAAAATACTCACTAGGAACATAGTAGATCAGATTTTAATTCAATTAACTACTTGATATTTTGATTTATTTCATTTCAGAAACTCATCCCCACAGTTTAAACCATATATATTCCATTTGTGTAATCACCAATGGAATAAACCACAAGCCAAATATTTTAATAGGTTCTCCCTGGTTTATCAAATTATAATTATACAGAACATTCAACCCAAAATTTAGATAGTTGTTTTCCTCTTTAAAATCACTTTAGCTAGTAGTTCCATTGATTTAACAGTATGAGTAAACCAATGACAAATAGTTTAAAAATAATGAAAGTTAACTGAAAACTGAAACATCCCGTATCACTCCATAGGTTGCAATTGCAAGCAAATGCAGTAATTTTAAAGGAATCCTGTTACCTTCATCTATTCCATAGCTTTCTGTATTGCAATTAAGAGAGAGAAAAATTGAAGACCTTGCTTAGAAATAACTAATAGCAATTAGGTTAACAACACAAACTTGGAGAGTACATTTCAATATTTAATTTTTAAAATATTTCAAGCACAAATATGAATAAAAAAAGAACTAAATACAAATAAAAATTAAATATCCTCAAGTTAACTTAATGCTATTTAAATAATGGTTTTAAATTCCTATGACTTATTTTTGTGGGATCTGGATAAAAGTTAGCCAAGTTGGACATTTACTACTCTACTATGCATAATACAAACACAAACAAAAATTTGAATTCTCTGAAGAAATGTACAAATGACCAAATGGTTAATCAAAAAGGTAAATGCAATTTTAAATATTTTTCCAAATTGATACTGGCAGTCAAAATGCACGCACTTAAGCTTCAGTTCTTACCTCTGTTTCATATCACTTTTTAATCAAGGAGCTTTTGAAAGGGGACATGGGGCCCACCCAGGATAATGCATGCTTGAGAGGCAAGGCCAGAAGCTGGATTGTTTCTCTTTATTTTGGTAATGCTTCCTCAATATATACAGACAATCCAAATGAGAGCATCTTTCAGAATATTTATACAAAAGAATAGAGGACCTACAAATATGTAACGCTCTACTGAAATCAGAAATTTCAGACTTTGAATTAATTACTAAGGCTTCTGAGGTCTCTTTAAGAGGCATGTTTAAATTTTTTTTTTTTTTTTACACAATTGAAATTTCAAGGACTTATCCAATTCAAGATCTGGGGAATATATACTCCAACTTGAGATCTGGTGTTTCCAGATTTTCATAAATCAGCAAGCTGTACATCACAGAGAGAAGTAGAATCTTGACATTTCCAGGCTGTTATGAAGTTCATTTACGAGTTCTGTCTCTCCCCCAACGTCTCCCACCCTTATGATCTATAGACTGAAGGTTAGAAGCTGTTTGTATTGGTTAGTCAATGGCAATAAAGAACAAACAATTTCAAGGGGAAATGCAGATATCTGAATATGTGTTGTGTGTATACTTAACTTTTATATAATGCTAATTTTCTGCAGAAAGAAAAAATTCAAAAAAGTTTCTATTATCACAGAGTCAGAAAACATGATTAAAAAATCCTGTTAACTAAAATTAATTACAGATATTTGAGCTTTAGGCTTTTGACCTGTGAGTAGGTACATATAATACAAAGTTGTAAAGGTTGAAAAGAATATTCTTCTTCAGCACCCAATGAGGTATTAAACATAGGTCTAAAAGGATAATAAATATCAAAAACTTTTAAATGTGAGGAGGTAATTTTTCAAATTTGAGCAAGAACAAAATCAGAAGTGTACTTACTTGAGGGCATAGTATAAGTATCTTCTTCATCTATAATCTCAGCATAATCATCTGTTTCTGTAGGAAAGGAAACATAAGTTGGAAGAGGTCAAATATTTGGCCTTTGATATAATTTGAAAAGGCAAATTGATCTGTCTAAATCCCATACTATGCTGAAATATTCTTAAAACACTATTTCTCAAATTTTGCTCACACATGAGTCATCTATGGAAATAAAAGTGACATCACTGTCGAATATTTATAATACACAGACTTGTTTATCCCAGAGTAAAGAGGGCTAACAGAAAGCCTTTGTAAAAAACAGAAAGACATTAAACAACTATGTATATGATCCAAATTAAGCAAGTTATACTGACTGCAAAATTCTCCCTCAACTACACCAAATACGTGTTTAAAACTTCACTGTTGTCTACTGGAATTTTTCCAGATAAGACTAACATCTCCAAAACAGACTATCTGATTTTATTAATAATTAGATGTGACAACATAATCTGAGTTTTCACCCTTAGAAAACAAATGGCTTCCCAATTTTTGAGAAGATTAACTTGGCTGATTTATTCCAATTTTTTTCAGGGTTGAGAAATTCAACTCAGGAATTAATCTTTCATAACTTTTCCCCTCAGATATTTGAAGAGTATACATTAATGTCAAAAGGGTAAAAGAGCTACCAAAAAGAATAAGCATAAGTAGCATATTAAAATGAGGCTTTGTGAGTTAATATCAAGGAGTTCTAATGTTTCTACTTACTCTTCGGTAATACAGTAACATAAAAATCCACCACTATATTAAGGGGAAATTAAAAAAAAAAACTCCATCTGAAGAAAACAACCATTTACTTGGATAATAAACAGAAGAAAAAAAAACTTAGGTCTTGTCTATTTTTCTCTTTCTGGCAAAAGAAAATCTGTTAGTTGCTTCATGTATAAGAATTTTAATTACTAGACTATTGTGAGTCGTAAAGGTGTGACAGTACTTTCTGATAAATCTTTTGAAGAGAGTTCTATTTTGAAAATCTGACCTGGCATCCACATTTAACCCCACAGAAACTGAAAGCTATAAGTTGTTTTTTCTGTGCTGCCACAGAAAAATACTTCACTTAGATACTAAAAGTATAGAAACCAAAGGAATAGAGAATATATTTTGTTTATGGTTTTCATGATATCAATCATTCCGCATACTGCTATAGTAATTTATAACTAGAAGAGTTCACTTAATGTGTAATCATCACTCGAAGTGATTAAAGCAAAAAAAAAAAAAAAGTTTGGCTGGCAGAATAAAAGACCCAATAAATCAATACTCCTTAAGATATATGTCATATGTAAACTATTCCTAGGTCCTAAAAGATATGAAGATAATCTATATTATTCTTACATGTTTCTAAATAACAAAATCACTTACATGATTAAAAAAATTAACCTATCCCAAACTGTACATTCTTTTATTTCTATATTTCTCCCTTTTAACCTGTTTCCAGCAAGCAAATACTAAGAACAGTACACTGGCATCCTGTAGGCCCATCACTTTGGTTTTGTGTGAGATTATTAAAAGATTATGTGAAAGAATTATCTGGGGATGGACGGAAGCTGCTGACACACTTGTAACACAAAGGACTAAGCGGGGAAGGAACTTACTTTAATAGCCAAGACAACAGAACCAACACAAGTCACACAGATGGCCATACGCAATCATTTATTCTTTTTATTCCATTAATTTAACAGGCTCAACTTTACAACAATGTACTCAGAAAACTGATGCAATGAAGGACAACAACGCACTCAGAAAACTGATGCAACGGAGGCTACGTGTCCATACACAATAGCCCCAGCATCCTCACACCTCTTTCATATAAAGCATGTGCCTTTAGAGGTAAAACACATGAACCAGCCCTGCTGTGGCAGGATTCTGGGAAGGAAAGCTTGCTCAGAATCCCTGCCTCTGCTTGCCTGCCACCCAAACTATCTTTAGAACTTTATAGCTGGCACTATGTGTTATTAGCACCATAGTTTCATATGGCTGCAGGGGATCACTGCAAGTCTGTCCTGAAGCCCAAGTCTCTTAGGTGACAGGTAGCTACTTGTCTGAATGAAGAACTGCACAAAACTGATGATGACAGCAACAACAATGAAGGCAGTGATCTCCAACTGAGGGTTTTCCACAGACTAAAGCTCCTCAGAGCCAACTCCGGTTTTAGCCAAAGTGTCACTATTCAGAGATCTCTCCTCAAACTAATTTGCCTCCAAACCACGGCTCTTAATCATGTTCCCAGATACTATTTTGTTTCCTTGGTAACTGCCCAGTTCTCTAGAATGGAGCAGCTACTGAGAGAGAATGCTCATGAATCTTGTTCACCACTATGCCCTCTGCAGCTAAAATAGTGCCTGACACAGAGAAACTATACTAAACAACAAGAATGGCTGCACTGCAGCAACACAGTGTGGAAACTGAGGCAAAGGATTTAACCTACCTATGCAAGGCAGCACAGACAACAAACGGTAGAACTGCAATACATGGGACAAGGTACACAAGCACATTTCAGGGTATCATGCTTGATCTTTAGAAGGTTACTTCACCTAGCTATGCTTCAGTTATGCCCTTCATGTTTACATAAAATGAGAAGTCATCCACCTTGTAGAATTTTTATGAGGATTACAGGAGATGCATGTAAAGTTGAGGTATGGCCCTATGCATAACAGATGGTCAGGAAATGTTTTGCTTCTCCTGGGAATCTATGAAAGGGACCTGACAGTTGAGGGTCTGGGATTCCTGTGTGCTGATCCTCTCGGTCGGTATTTTCAGTTTGACTACAATGCCTTGAAGGACTGTTTCATTTTATAAAACCCTCAGTAGAGATACCAACCTCTGAAATAATTCTAAAGGAATGAAAATAAATTGGCTAATATGTATCAGGTTAGCACATAAGACTGTCTTGGAAAAATCATGTTACTTACATTTCAATTAATTCATACAATCATAAGAAAGAGTCTATAAATCTTTTGAATCTATGTGAATTCTATATAAAACCTCTGAGGATATATCAAAGCTATTGGAGAATTACTCATAATAATATTTGGGGTGCAAATATGTATACTATGATGGAGTGTGAATAGAGAACTTATGGAGCAGAGTCAATGTTGAAGGAACACACATCTGCAAAAGTTTGTAACCAGCTATACAGAAGTTTTCAAAAGGTAATACTTGGCATACTCTTCCAAGAATTCTTTATATTGATTTGGAGATATATATGTCTATATAGTCTTTTGCAGGATGATTTGATTATATATTATTTTTTCCTGGCTTTCAGGATTGTGAGATAGAATGTTATGATATCATACCTAGGACAAATATTTTTACATACTGAAGGGCCCTGAAAAATAGGGAGTCTAAACTAAAACTGCCTGGACCCCCATAATTAATAGTAACATAGAAGGAAATTATAAAGAAAAAAGGAAACAAGTTCAAAGATCTGGGCTCAAATAAAGGAAGCTAGATCTGCATTCTTTATTTAATAATGATGATGACAACTAATAACAATATTACCACCTGCTAGACACTATTATAAACAATTACATATACTGTCATTTAATGCTCAGCAAAATTCTCTGAGGTGGTACTATAATCACCATTCCTTTTCGCAGACAAGAAACTGAGGCTCAAAAGAGATATATAACTTTTTCAAGATTCAGCGCTGATCAGCAGCAGGTTGTTCAGCACAGCACTCCTGCACAGAGCCTAGGCTTTGAACTACTTACTATACTTTAATCCTTTCCTTTTACATTTCACAAAGTTTATGGGGACTTTTATTTGTGAGATGAGAGCCCATGCTTTGAAACTATTGATTGTTCCCCTAGGGCTATTTTGGAAATGTTCTCCCCAACATGGGCACAGTTTTACTCCAGGGATGCTCACAGAATGGTTTATCTGAACCTGTGTACTTAGGAGACAATTTCAGGATGTCTAGCCCATGAGTTAAAAATTTAAAAATTAAAAAAACAGAGACTTCTATAATATTGAACATCATAATTTAAATTTTTTGGTATCATAATATGTAGTAAAACAAAAAATCTGCGAAGATATATTAAAAGGATAGAAACTGGCTGGGCTTGGTGGCTCAGCCTATAATCCTAGCTCTTTTGGGAGGCTGAGGCGAGTGGATTGCCTGACTCTGCGGGTTCGAGACCAGCCTGGGCAACTTGGCAAGGCCTCATCTCTACAACAAATAAAAAAGTTATCCAGGGGTGATAGTGTGCGCCTATAGTTTCATCTACTTGGAAGACTGAGCCAGAAGGATCGTCAGAGCCCAGCAGATAGACACCAGGGTGGCCATGAGTGTGCCACTGTACTCCAGCCTGGGCGACGAAGTGAGACTCCAACTCAAAATAAAATAACTGAAAATAACATGAAATGAAATAATATGAAATAAAATAAAAGGATAGAAACTGACAGCTTAGAAAACAGGAGAGAAAAGTTATTAGCTCTCATTTTAAAGGAAAGTAAAAAGCCACTAGTAAAGAGTACTGAAAATATCAACATACATATGAGGTGAAAGCTCATGCTCTCCAAGAGCCTAAAACTTCTGGAGTTACTGAGAAGAGGGACAGTTTAGTTTGTGAGGAATGTATCAGTGGAAAAAGAGACCATCACTTGGTTTATTTAAAACCTGAATTTCACATCTATGAGGTAGACAATAAGATTCTGTCACCACACCTGTTCCCTTCTCTCCTAGTAGCACTGTGCACTGGCTTGGATACCAGCAATTCTGACAACTTATTCCCTTTACCGGTTTCCCTGCTGCTCTCAAGGGGAAAGGGCCCAGTCAGTGGGGTTAGGAAGTCTGATGGGGTTGTTAATCCCCATCAACATCTTTACAGTGATTAGGTTTACTTAGGGAACTCAACAGGACTGATTGCAGTTTCTTAGCCTACCTGGAGTACCCAGATGTGTCATTGACTCTAGGGGCATCATGAAGCAGTGGCAAGAGTTCTTTTTCTAGGAGCCAAGAAGAACCCAACTTTGCTCTTTAAACTACTGAAGACTGGGAATTGGCAAACTTTTTTGTAAATGGCCAGAGAGCAAATATTTAAACCTTTGTTGGTCATGCAGTCTCCGTTGCAACTACTCAATTTTGCTATTCAAATTACAGCTTGTAAACAGTCATAAATACTATGCAAATAAATGGGTAGAAACATGTTCTAATAAAACTTTATTTATGAACACTAAATTTGAATTTCATATAATGTGATATGACAAATACTAATCTTCATTTGAATTTCCCTCCAATCATTAAAAAAAAAAGTAAAAATCATTCTTAGCTCAAGGGGCAATACAAAAACAGGTGAGCCATATTTGACCCTGTGCCTCACTGACCAAGACCAAGTGATTAAACCCTTAAGGCTCAACCTATTCACTTGTAAAATGGGGCAAGTATACTTGTCCTGGCTAATTCATAGAATTGGGAAATTCAAATATGGAGAGAAAATACATGAAAATGTTTGCAGACATTTCTTTACATTTTTCCATAGTAATCCTTACAACAACAAATCTAGACCTTTTCCAGAAGGCACAAGAGATGAAGCAATTTGAGACCACTCAACTAGTCAGCTGGTGACATAATGGGACAGTAGAAAAAGGGCAAGGCTGAAGCCTAAGATCTGACCACTGGCCTCTAGCAGTGTTGGACTCTCTCTTAGCTCTCTGATGACCAGTTTCTTTTCCTGCAAAACAGTGAAGATAATACCCAGTAATATTCTGGACAAATACTGTGAGGATTAGGATCACACTGGTAAAGTGCCTGTACACAGGAAGCACTCAATGAATGGCAATGAATGCTAATTTATTACCATCACGGAACCAATCTAGAAAAGAAGCTCAAATCTTTGTCTTCAAATCTCATAAAGAACATGCACTTCATAGAAAACCAAAATCGTATTTCATTAAGATCTTTCACTGTAATTGCTTAGTTCATTATACTCAAAAATCCCATCACAAAAATGAACACAGGTGAAATCTTCAGTTAAAGCATTCTTTCATTTAATCATGAGGAAAAAAAAATGCAATTCCCCTTTAATGTTAGTTTACAAAATCCTACTTCTTTAGTATAATGGAATATAAACTTTCATGCAGGCAAAATGGGAAAAATAAAACACTAAAAAAGTGAATTTAAAAAATTTCTAGTTTATTAAGTGCTATCAACTGTTTGAAAAACAATCATGATCAATATTGCTGATATTTCCATAATTACATTAGTTTGTGTGAATCTTTATCACTTTTCATTCTTCTTTCCACTACCTAATTCCCAAACTAAGAATTATTATTTTACACACATACCTACCCACCCACCTCCACTTGAAAAATACAGTGTATGAATAAATATCATTTACAGCTTTCAAGTATGGCTAATTTTGCTGAATGACACCATTTTTGACCTTTTTCTAGAAATTTAAAGTTTTAATAATGATATCTACGAAATATATACAACTCAAATTTACCAATGAAATGTGATAAAAAAAACTGACAGTTATCCTTTCCACATTAAAACCCTAAACAATTTTTAAGAGATAATTTTTTCACACCACTTTGTATTTGAGGTTCTGTTGGCTCAAAACCACATTTTGCCTTTCATTAAATACTAAACTATATTTATTTCCATAATCATCTCAAGCAGTAACACAAATGTGAAAATAAATATTACCGTCCCCACTAATTTCATCTGCAGATCCAGGTGGCATGCAAAGAAAGGGGAGTAGGGAACAGAGGGAAAGAGAAACAGAAAGGAGAAGAGGGGAGAGAGGGAAAACACACTATTAAAATGACAAGTAAGAAAAACAAAAAAATCACCCCCCAAGGTCTACTCAAAAGATAAAAGAAAAACTGTGGTAGTAGTACATTTACTTGAATTTGAGGGCATTATGCCAACTTTTAACACAATGTTACATAGCAGTAGAGTTTCAACTGGTCTCTACCACATTAAGCAAAATCTGCCTCTCACAATTAATGTTGAAAATGGTTCCCACCTCCCTCAAAGGAAATCTGTGCCCTCTCAGACAAAAATGCAAACAAACAAGTCACTAATGTGTATGTTCACTGATAAGCAGGGAGTAAGCCCTCAGCATGCTTATTCCCATGAGTCAGTGTAGGCCAGGTCCACTACCATAAGCCGTTGGGAATGCAGTACTTGAAGCTTTGCAGGCAAGTACGGTTAATATTTAACTCTGTACAGAACAACAAATTTTATTTCCAGTTTGAAGAAATTACTGTTCCAATTATTATACATAATCTTTGTTTTCCTAGAAAACTCTCCAAATGGCATAGCTGGTTCTATATGCAGCAGCCCTAAATACCTGCCCCCAAAGCATGTAATGCAGACAGACAACTAGGGTTCGCACTAATCATTTACCCTTATAAAGCTGCATGCTATATTAGGAAATTCACAATGCAAAAAATGTGATCCAGCTCACCTCTGTGGGAAAACACTCAGACAATACAAATTAAACTGAGAAGCTACTTCTTGCCCTGTCATGCATTTAAAAATCAGCAAACAGGCAAACAAAAAGTCCTCTAGTCAAGAGAGAGCCCAAAGATTATCAGACACAAAACCTTGCCCCCGGTTATTCATTCCTTCTGGACAAAGAACAGCACATACAGCAATATTCAATAAAGCTATGATCTGATCAGGACAATCTGTAGGCATCTAACAGAGTTAGTTTCTTGGGGTGTTCTGGTTAATAGGAGAGCCTGTGTAAATATGAGTGCAGTACCCGTAGAAGGAGGATCATGGGAACAGAAGACCAAAGGGAGAAAGCGCCTAGCTTTCTTAACTTTATGTTGGCAGTGACTGACTCCTTTATAAAGAGGCAAGAAGAGGAAAGAGAAAAATAGAAACATTATTTCAATACAAAAGAAAAGACAACTTTTGTTACATTTTAAGGCATAACTATAAAAAATGCAAAACTGTAATGCTTTTATTTGACTTAGCATACCTTCTCACTATGACTGACTTGAGTTTTTAAAAACACAATATTTTACAACTTAATTTCCTGTTTTAGCAAAGAGTAATATGAGATTCAGAAACAAGACATACAGAGGCTCTCCCGGCTCTGTTGAGCCAGACAACTGAAAGTTCAGATATTTTCCAAAGAACAAAACTGAAACAAAATGAAACAAAACAAAAACCAAAGACCAATAAAAAATTTGAGATTCTTGTGAACATTTAACATTCAACAATAAAGAAAAAAATCACAGATAACTGGCAGATCTTGATTTGTGAGTTTTATGATCCACTTACCCCAAATCATCAGTAAACACACAAACTCAGATTCTGAGTATACACCTTAAATAAATTACCTTAACATAAAAACTGGTGGCAAGGATGTTTGAATACAAAAGTTGCAAAGTCTCTACTAGCATCAATGATTCATTCATTTGCTCATTCATGTACTCAAAACTCATGTGGAATCAACTCTATTTTAATTACTGGCTAGATCAACAAGACACATCTCAGCCCTCCAGGAGCATACAGCACACTGAGAAAACAGAGAAGCAACTATTATAGTGTGGTAATGGCAGCAGCGGACATGTGTCAAAGTAAAGTCAAAGCAAGGGATGTAGCCCTTCAAGAAGCACCAGTTGTTAACATGTGACAGACACATACAGCATGCAAAATTTAACTGCAGATTTACAGGGTACCATCAAAAAAGATTAGGACTTCAAGTGTGGGCCCAGGAAGAACAAGGGTCACAACTGTCTGGCCATCAAGATGGTAACAATCTTACTGACATTATCGGCACTTCAGGCACACAAATGAGAACTGAAACGTACACTGTAGTAATATTTTTCAAATGGTATGCTTTGATTTCAACCACATTACTGGCTTTTTTATCTCATTGCTTGATTTGAAAAGTCCCATTTTCCACATACTCATTTCTGGCCCCCCTATGTGATGGCACTGGAATAAAGCTCTCTCTGGTCTATCAGTTAAGCAGATGGCCTGACCTGGCAATTGAATGCACTGTGTGAGGTGGGATGTGCCTGCAGAATAGGGGGTTAGGGGGAGGGCGGGGGGGGGAGAGGAGATCAGGAGGCAACAGCACTGTGGGATGTTACTGGGACAACATCAGAATATGGACTGTAGATAAGAGAATTCCTTCTGTATTAAACTTCCTGATCTTGATAATCACACTCTGATTGTATAAGAAGATATCCTTTGTCTTAAGAAACACAAACTGAAATATCTATAAAAGGCACCATGTTTGCAACTTGTTTTCACAGGGTTCAAGAAAAAAGCTAGTATCAACAAAAAACATACGGAGTGAAGGATAAAGCAAGTGAGTCAAATATACACATAGATAATTTGAGTAAAGAATATGTGAGACATCATTTTACTATTCTCACAACCATTCTCTAAGAACATGGGTCTGGATTCAAACACTGGCTCCACTACTCGCTCTCTGACCTGGGGAGCATTACCCTCCTCAGTTTTGTTATTTGTAAAATAGAGTATGGCAACCCCTTCAGGTCCCCTCCTGCTGTGGGAGCTTTTCTGTTCTCGCAATAAATCCTGCTTTCTCAAAAAAAAAAGAGTAATAACAGAAGCCACTTCAAGTAAAGAGTTGGGGAGAGGATTCCATGAGATCCCCTGATCACATGGCACACAACAATCACTTTATAAGTGCAGTTATTCTTATTTTTCTGTTTTTTTTTTTTAACGGAGCTGAATATTTCCCATATTGACTTAAAAAGTGAATAATTTTTTAAAAACATAAGTACAACTTTTCTTGAGTGACACAATATATTATCCTGCATTTTGAAAACAAAAATGAAAGGTATTCAGACCTCAATTTTATATTATTCAAGATGATCATTTTAATTATATTTACTGAATACCTACCATGAGCTACGCATATTATGTAGATGCTAGGGCTACAGCAGAGAACAAAATGGGCCCCAAAACTCTTATGAAGCTGTCCTCACAGGGTTAATAAAAATTCTCAACAAAAATATAGTCATTTAATTTACTTTTTAGTATTTGAGTTGGGACTCTCTAGCCTGTGGCCCAGGCTAGAGTGCAGTGGCACAATCATGGCTCACCACAGTCTCAAACTCCTGGGTTCAAGCAATCCTCCTGCCTCAGCCTCCGAAGTAACTGAAACTGTAGGTGTGTGTCACACCTAGCTAATTGTTTTGGGTTTTTTTTGTAGAGATGTGGTCTTGCTGTATTGGCTAGGCTGGCCTTGGACTCCTGAGCTCAAGCAATTCTTCAGCCTTGGCCTCCCAAAGTGCTGGGATTACAGGTATGAGTCACCACGCCCAGCCAAAAAAATATAGTTATAATTACGCATTAATCAGGGTGCACTTTATTTGTATCCCCACTGCTCTTATAGATAGGATTTCTGATGTTAGAATCATAAGACTTTTGTTTAAGAATTTCTTAAGATGTTTTTCAGATCCTGAATTTCAGTGGAATAGCTAACGCCAACCAGTTTGAAGACCCCCATAGAGGAGCTGAATCACCATGAGAAGAATACAGTTTCTTCTTTTCCCTGTCCCATGACTTCACCCTGCACTCTTCAACCAATCAATCATCTCCATATTTTGGCCCACTCCAAACCCCGTAAAGGAGAAGGTTTTCTTAAAATTAACATTATAGGAGAGTTACAAGTGTAGAGAAAGTCTAGGCATCATGAGAGTAGGAGCTGTCAGAAGATGGACAGGACCACAGGAGGAACAGAGAGACAAGGTACTAGAAGAATTACCAAAAATACTGAAATCCTTCCCAACTAGTATGGGGGACTCTAGAGAGGTGACAGTGATCTGGGTGCTCGAAATGTTGAGGAATGTTAGAACCTCGTTTTGATACAAGAGATTTAAAGCTGATGTTTTTGAGGGAGAATAGTCCCTCAAATAGAACGGGCATGAGAAGCAAGAGATCCCTCACCTTCAGTGCTAATGCTACAAAGGCTCTCTGCCATTATATTCTCCCAATAGGGTTATAGAAGGACCAAAGGGTACCAGTGCCCTTCAGAGCCAGTTCTGGTTAGAGGAAGGTGACAAGAAGGTTCAAAGAGGTTGTGGATATAGAGAACTCCCAGAAGACACAGGTGAAGAGTTTTAAAAGTTGGAGAAGAGTGGGAGATGAAGACAGAACAGTAGATATTATAGAAAGGTATGAGAGTGACATGGGCGTTTAGAGCTTCTGGAGAAACAAGTATGATTAGGGATAAAAAACTTAATGAGATTAGTCCAAGTGACTCAATATTTTCCTTTTCCTTTTTACTTATACAAGTAAAGCAATATTTTCCTTTGACCATAACTCTATCAATTCTATTCCTTTCCTTGGGCATTAGGCCTTGGTGCTAACAATGCTGAATGGTACTTGAGTGCTGTGCTCTGGGAAAACAGGCTTCCCAGTACATCATCCAAACTGGGGCGGTCATGGGGGAACTACCTTCCCCAACAGTGCTAACAATCCACCAATTCACACTTACATTTAAAAATGAAAGTCCCAAAGAGCAATATCTGTTTAGAGAAGTAAAATTCATTATTTTAAAATTATCAAATAAAGAAAAAAGAAGAAGCAGTTTTCCTGTATTTCCAGTAAGATCTGTTCCCTAGGCTAACCCAACAGCTGATATGGGAAAGTTGTCTTTAGATGGATTCCTAAACGAAGAAATGATGGAATTTGTATGTTGCTATTTTATGGCCCTCTTATGAAATCCAGGCATGAATGTCAATAGCAGCTAAAACTATCAGGTGACATGCTCAAGGGAACTTTACAATGGATGGATCAGAGACTGACAGGACCTAAACCCACTGATCAGTCTTAATGTCACTAAGAGAGACAATTAGATATATGAATATCACCTATGAAACATTCTTGCAGGGGGAAAAAAAAAAATCACTGATCCCAAACTAGATCAAACTTCTTTAGCTCTTAACAACAAGCAGCTTATAGGAAATAAAGGGGACAGAGATGAATAGGTTAAACAATACAGTATTACAGAGGTGTAATCAGCTCTCAGAATGTGGGAGCTGTGAGATGAGTGATACAATTTCTCCAACAAATAAACTGCAATTAATAACAAAAACAACAGAGCCCAGCTGACAGACATAGGAGATGCAAATTTAAAAAGCATTACCTGTTTGATTCATGTTTGAACGAAACCATGTGTGAAAAATAGGGCGATCAGGGATATCTGAACACTGCCTAGATATCTGGTAACAATTTTTAAAAAATTTATCTGTATTAGTCTTAAAAATTATTTATTTATTTTAAAGATGTGGAGCTGACATTGTTTTATAAAAAGTTTTATCTTTTAGAAATATTTATAGGTGAAATATGCCTTAAGCTTCCTTTAAAATAACCAGTGGGGATTATGTGTCTGTGTACTGGGAGGAAGCAGAGGTGAAATAAGACTAGCTATATGTTTTTAGCCACTGAGTCTGGGTGATAAGCATGTGGAAAATCATGATACAATTCTATTCTCTCTCTTATACATATGCTTGAAATTTTCCATGACAAAAACTTTTAAAAATTCAAAAGCATATCACATAGTGAGCAGGCAGTTAATATTTGTTCATTTCTATGGTTTTCTTCTTATAAAAGCACCAAAAATATTTTGTCTTGACTTGTGCAGTTTGATTTTAATACACAATTTTTGTGTGGCCACCATAAACTACAAAATGGAGGGTGGGGGGGAAGCATTGAGGTCAAATTCTAGAATTTATGCTTTAAAGTTTCAAGCATTCATTTAAAATTATTCTCTGCAAAGAAGAAAATAACTGGGCCTTTTGATGTTAGCAATATTTGTTTTACATTTAGCACGATGATACTTGGGCTTCTTGC